TGTGCCTTTACAATTGATACAGAGGATTTGTACATACAGGTGACTTTAATAAGCAGAGGATTATCTTTTATATTCCGTGAAAAATACACTAAATTTATATAAAATAATATCATGGTTGGCAAAAAAATTGTACGCACAGTGCATCCGTGCGTATGCCTAGTTACGCCCATGTTGTGATGCGCATGACTGAGGTAGAATATGCGCGTGCATGTGTGTGTGTGTGTGTGTGTGTGTGTACCACACAACACCAACATATGTATGAGAAAAAAACTAATAATTTCAGAGTGAATGACAAAAGAAGAGACTGGTGGACTTGATGTGCCGTGTATTTGACTATTGCATTCATTGTGTTATCATAATTTGATGTCGGGTGGGGTCGATTGAAAAATCGCTTTACGCATCCAACCGCTAGGATGAAAAATATTTTTAAAAAATCACAGCTAGCCAAGTTGGGCACGGATTTAAAAATTATCATTATAAATTAAAGGACAGTCCGGTATAAAAAAAACCCACTTACGTCATACTCCAAATTCACATATTAATCATTTGATAAGTGTACTACGTCGGGGTGGTGGGGTTGTTGGGTGGGGTAGGGGTAGGGGTGGACACCCCGGGGTATCTCGCTTTGCTGAACGGTGATTTCATTGCATACTTCAAGAAGGAATTTGGCATCCAGAAACTCGAGTCGTTGTTGCGAGAGAAAAGAAAAGGGGAGAAATATGAGAGCGGTGAAATATACGAGGTTGGAATTGAATGTGTGTGGAGAGCCCTGGTTGTCTAGGCTTGCTGTACGGTGAATTATGTCTAATTGCTTTCTGGAATTAACCGATATTTTACAGATCATCGTTTTGCCTGCTACATACAGTAAACATTTATCTGGGATCTGGGCTATGATGGGCGAGATTACATATCGCCCCCTAATGGGCCCCTTCAATAAAGAACCCCCTTTCCCTTTCTGTAAACAGGAACGAACGTACATTTTATGTCTCATTTTATCACCTCACGTTGTTAACGACGTCACATGCATAATTCGTGTGTTATTATAATATCTGTCCAAGGTTGAGAGACAATGGGAAAAGTCCAATGGCTTAATAGCTATTCTGTAATCCAATCAAAAACATCCAGCTTTGAAGTCAGTGTAGATTTATTTGAAAATAAGAACACGTGCACTCTAAATTCTATGGCGCTGTTAAAAAATTAACAAGTCTGCGAATAATATTCAGCTATATTGTATAGTTGATTTGGGATATATTTCTTCAATTATTATCATTCTATGTCTGTGTCACTCTATTTCATCCCGACCTGCCCATCACCGTCTTAAATCCAATTCAGATTATGTATCAGTATTCTTCCATCCATTCCCTACTTTGCATTTTGTTAAATAATCATGATCGCTTCTGGTCCACGTTATCTGTGATCCCCGCCACAAGCCTAATCCTAGCTTTTGTGACGCCACCCAGTCCATGACGTCACTTCTATCAGTGACGTCATTCCATGCAGTATCCGCGGTCGTGCTCTTTACAGAAGCGCATGCCCAAGGGTCTCGACAGGAAGCTGCTTCGCGGACCGTTATACGTCCCGCGGGGACAGGCCCACAGAAAGGATGAACGCATTGAACAACGGATGAAAGTACATTGCGGATCGCCCAGTGTCGGGTCCAGGTTGAAGTAATCCCCATCCGGCAAGTTTTGGCATAGGTCTGAACCTAGTACTAAAACAAAAAATGGGGAAACTCTGTATTAGGTTGTTTCTTTCTTTCTTATTTGTTTATTTATTTTCATGAAATGGATAACAATGTGTACCAGAATATGCTGATGATATTTCCATTACGGATGTTCATAGAAATATAACGTTTTTAAACAGAATTTGATGATGATCAAGTTTCATGTAACTTTGTGTTTGCAATCTTGTTTAAGTTTATGTGCGTGCATGTGTGTGTGTGTGTGTGTGTGTGTAAAATAGGTGTGTCAACAACAAAACATGAAGAAAAGAAAGTTTTGAGACAGAATATTTTACACTCATCCTTACAAGTGAAGGGGACGAAACAGTTAGATACGAAACTTCAAGCTGTGCTATTGTTTCGGTCGTCGAAAAAGCTATAAACCAAAGATGAAAGGACCAAAGCTTGTCATTGATGAAGAGATACATATTTCATATAGCGTTATGCCCGTGGGCAGGAACTAATAAAAAGAACGCAGGTGAAAATTTTGAACATGCAACACAAAATAAATGCGTTTTTGAAACCAAGTCTACTGTTACACGATAAAAAGATATAAATTATTATATAACATAGAGGGTGGTCCATACATTCCATCTCAATTTTGATATACATGCAAAGAAGATATTTCCAACTTTCTTTCATCAAATAGTTCCATAAGGATGACCATTTTATCCTTGCAAATTCTGCAGAAATTGAAACCTTTTAAGTAGGCGAATTCTAATAATAATGTGTCGAAAAAAATAAAGACAGAGCAGCAAGTGCAATGCTGAAACGAATCAAAACTGACAAAAAATTATTTAGAAATATTTTCTGGTTATTTTTAAATTCTGTAGTAGTCTTGTGCACAACAGTTCTTATTCACCATATTTGTTTCTTATGGTTTAATTGCTTTCTTAAGACGACGCTTCCGGTACAAGTTAAAGGTTTGCATGCACATGTACCTCACGTGGATTCTCGCACGTCTGGTGTGACTTTTTTTTTAAATTTGTTATATTGGGCAATTTCTGTTCTTTTCTGTTTGAAATGTGATCTTCGTAACGTGATAACACGTCTTTATCAATGCAAGTATAATATGTGTAAGTGACTGAGTTTTGAAACGTTGAATTACAGGTTTTATCCGATTGTAAATTAAGGGAAACTGTGCACCAGAATTCACCTTCGAAATGTTTTTTTTTTTTCTTTTCATTGTCCAGAAAATGTTAACCTCACATAGTTTTAAGGTGCACTAAAGAATATGCACAGAGCCCGAAGCTGGTCAACCTTTAGAAGTTAATGATTGTTAAACGCGTGACGGTATTCTAATAGCTCTACGATGAAACGCAAACCACTGGAGTCAGCAATACTTTAATAATTAGATTATGTTGCAGTACTTAATTTAAATAGCTTTATATTTTCCATTTGAATGTCCATTATGTGCCTGAATGCATATTTTCATTTGATTACTTTTCTTCTTCAATCTTTCGCTATACTGTTATGTAAATTCATCTACTATGCCTTAGACTTATTTTATTGTTTCAATCATTTTGTAAGATTTATATTGTACAATCCAGTTGTGGGGAAGATAAACGATTGTCGACGTCCACGTACTGAATTTTATGCTAATTCTCAAGGAGTTTGTAAAAGCAATTTGTGAAATTAAAACTAACTACCTGTAATATTTGTCTTTAATTTAACTGACCCAAATCTATGATTGACTCCACAAAATGGGCAAATTAAAAGCAAAACCTAAGGAAAATTTAGGTGACCCAAATTTATGTTACCACAAGCGATAAACTGAATATAAAACTATATAGCAAAGCCTTCAAGGCAAGTAGTCAATAGTAACCTGCGCTTTGTGTTGTTTCAATAAAATATATTACTAACCTTGAAGCTATCATCAAAACACTGCCTGTTTGTAAGCGTGGCCAAGCAAAGCACAGCATTCCACAAAACAATGATAAATAAATAAATAAATAAATAAATAAATAAATAAATAAATAAATAAAGAGAAAGATTAATCAACGAATGCATAAAATAAATATATGAAAAATCAGCAACAATGAAACCAAAATAAACATGATTAATAAATAAATAAATAATGGTAATATACATGGTGTGTATATTATGAATATAGACATTACTAAAATGCAGGCAAAATTTACGCTTCCATAGCTCGCGGCTGTTATTAAATGGGCTAAGTTTGTTTTGTACATTAACGCGTCGGCATATTGCATTGTCGTAAACTAAGATGTCATTCCCACAGACACCAACGGTCTACGTAGATCGATCCATTTCTGTAGGGACTCTTGCTGAGTGCAACCAGCTAAACCGGCTCAGCGCCTCCTCGTGGAGTTGTGAGGAATACAGGAAAGCTGGTGATTGTACAAGTGCGTTGGAAACAATAGGCGGCGTGGGTGTCAGTTAAGCTGATTGCACGCTGCGAGAGTCCTTGCAGAGTTGGATCGATTTACGTAAACCGATGGTTTCTGTGGGAATGGGGCCTTATTTTATTGGCTGAAACGAAAACTAAAGCCTCTCTCATTCTCTATTTGAATCCCTTTGTAGGAATGATATATTAGTAAAGACTTAACCAAACAAGACGTCTACAAGACAGTTTTCAGCTGTACTAAATCTGTACTAAGAGTTCTTTATGAGAGGGTTTTCTTCTTATTGCTTGTCTTCCTTCTGATTTCTAATAACTTTAAAATTTTGTTCATAGTTGACAGCCTTAGCTAATACAAGTTAAGACTTTTTTCACGTCAAGTGTTGTATCTTAGCGATACAGCTGTAGCGGCGTGTTGTTAAGGATAACCATACCCGCCTTCACAGGTTCTCCATAAGTTTTGTTTCCTGGCGTTTAGGCGTGTCGAGCGCAGGAACTCCGTGTAGGGGACTGTTTTACATAATATCCCAACTACAAGTTGTTAATCTCTCAAAATATACCGTCCAAGCTGCATCAATAAGATATAACGCTCGATTGAAAAGGCCCCTATATAATCGAACATTCATTAACAGAGGGTACATGTATGTACCAGAACAGAACTTACCTTTCATTTGAAACCGCATCTTTGTTTTCTTTAAAACCCTATCTGCTGCCTTTTTAGTAGGGGACGTCGTCTTGAATGGTGTGTATACGACAGTTGATTCCACAGCATTGAAAACCTCATTTTCTTCCAGCAGGCCGGATTTGAACGCGAAATAAAGGTATGGACTTCCCGCGACGGCCCCAACGCAACATACCGTCACACTGAGGGCGAGGAGAAAATTTTGGACCATGATCAAAATGTTGCCAAAGAGGTCCTGGAAGCTCTAGCCAAAAAGGCTCTTCATTCTGAGGGTCCCTGAAAAGATTGTGCGTCGATCCTAAACGTTTAACCCGGCTATCGATGAACGTTAAAACGCAGCTTTGCTCGAAGCGAAGTTTTATAGTCGTCCTATCAAAGGTGTGTTTATAATCCAGTCCGGATGGATCAACTTTTAACGTTCTAACTCTATAGGCCGTGTGATCTCATTATCTAAATACGCTATTGCCATTGGAAATTGTGAATCTTGGTCGGGGATCCGGGGTTGGGGTAGGGAGGGATTGAGGGGGGGGGGTGCCCACCCGCATTCTCTCTCCATCTCTCTCTCTCATCACCTATTTTTTCCCTCCCCTTGTCTCGCTCTTTCTCTCTTTCTCTCTCTCTCCGGACAAAGCCAAGAATACCCCCGCCAATTCATTGTTTTTATTATTATTATACACACACACTGAAGACGTACTTACTACGCGCCTGCCTACAAATTGGCTTGCAACTAACAATGGTAATAGACTTGATGATCGGAGCAGTGCTACGGATAAGATTTTCATCCTTAGGGTAGAAATTCTAATCACAAGATCCGCTGAGGTAATTTAGTGAAGACGTCGCAAATTAACTGTAAACGCGCCCTCTAAATCAGATTCGTTTACGTTGCTTCCGGTTTCTAATTCGCAATAAAATCCATTTGTTATATAGTGGAAAAACAATGGATGGGACCAATGTTATGAAACCTGACATGTTAGTCTTGTATCTTCTGGGACTCAAGCTCAGTTGAACATTGAGAATACTGCATCGACATGATTTCTGATTCGGGAAATCAGTCTGATTGAAAGAATATGTTGACATGTTTTCCGAAAAACATGCTATTGCTATTAATTTGTAATTCAAACAAGAAACAATGACCAGCATCACATAAAATTGATTTCTGAATATGTAAGAGAGCCCAAAATCAAACTTATTTTGCTCTCTCTGTAGATTCGATACAAAATTAATTTATTAACAAACTTATTTATTGATTTATGTATTTGTTCATTTACGTAACGTTATCAATTCAAGGATAAACTCGTAAGTGTCAACTTAAATTATGCTTGTAATCGCCTAACTTAAGATAATAATTAACAATTTAAGAAGTAATTAAAGTAAAGAACCCAGATTGGCGATATCGCGGTCAAACACCGGGGGATCTAATGGCCGTTAATGAGAACATGGTCTACATCTTAAGTAGTGGACGCAAGGTTCCACTGACGGGCACAAATTCTCTCCGTCGTTGTCGACTTGTATAAAACATTGCCCACTTCCTTTGCCCGAAGCAGAACCGGGGTCGTAAAGCCGGGTGTCACAGCGTAACTTGTGGCGTACTAGCATTGGCCGCATTCACAACAACGGAATAACAGATCCGCGGATCAAATATGGCGACCCACTTTAAAGCTTGACGCATAATCCCCTAATACATACTGAATAGATTCCCCGCGGGGATTTCGCGACAAGCATTCAAGTGGGTCCGGCATAACTGATCCGCAGAACTGTTAGTCCGCAGTTGTGAATGCCGCCTTTGCCTCGACGTCGTCTTTTACACGCAGATAAATGAATCTTTGTCGACGTGGTCATGCAAGGTCGTTGACACGAATCTTGTTGCGTTCGCGCACTGCGTTCGTGGGAAGTGGGGGGTGCGCCCACACGCGGAGAAACGGGGTAATCGTTATTGTTGTAGTTAGTGTGCAGCAAAATGGAATGGTTTTGCTGCGCTGGATAATGCTGTAATAGAGACTTTTGCGACCAGGCACAGAAAAAAGGATGCTGTTGTTTCGCTCACACAGAGCAAAATAGATAATCGTCGATTCACGGCATCATCATCCCTGTCATAGAAACCATTTATTGACAAAGCATTTAGTCTAGAATTAAAACAAAAAGTGTGTGTTTGCGTATCATCATAAAGGCGAACAGCATGCTCGAAGATGGATTGATAAATTTGCCATTAACAATATAAAGAATACAAAACTGGAGCATCATAACACTGGAATCTCTGAATACAGCGATGCTAATAAAGTAATTTCCAGTGAATCGACGATTATCTGTTTTGCTCTGTTTTACTTTGCAGTAGTAGCCTTTGGCGTTTTACGCAAGATTTGGACCAAGAAAAACGATTGGGACACTGCAATTTAAACTCCTTAGTTACGACAATTACAATTTGGGCAAGTGCTTGGCCTTTTAAAAGACCTACAAAAACGAGGTTAGCAGAATTTTTTTTCTGAAACGAAACTTATTAGACATAGTCTCGGTAGGCTATCATGACTTAAGATAATTATGAAAAGATTAAAATTGTGTATTAGTGACAACAGCCGGAGGTCCAAACTTCTACTTCATCTTTTTACGATTCACGTAAACGTAGCGAAGAAATACTTAAGACAGCAGCACGCGAATCTTTTATCACACCTACAATTTATTACACATTTACATACAGTTTAGCATGTACAGCGCATGAGGCTTAGATCAACTACTACTTCCACTGTGATAATCCATTCGCAATTCAATGAAGACCCTTCTCTCCACCCCAAAACCTCATTCTCAGCTGCCACTGAATGTCTGGGAATGGTAACACTTGCATCGAGGATGAGGTTCCTGGTTGGAGGGCGTGGGAGGACTCTCTTGTTTGTAACTACCTATCTACCTAAGTTACATACTAGATTCTGCATTACACTTTACAGTTTTAACATTTATATATAACAAAACTAAACGTCGACCCTCTTAATGACGGAGACTTTTTGAAGCATTTTGTCTTCCGAGCAGTACGTCTTTTACCCGATTCAAATTTTAAATACCTTCCATGATTTTAAGCACAAAAAAATCGATTCTGTTAATGCGTCTAAAATGACACTGCTTTAAAACTACATTAAAGGTTCCGAAAAGCTGCAAGTAAGCGCTGTGACTTACAAAATAAAAATGTACTGTGATTTAGAACTATTTGCCAAGCGTTGGACAATTCTAAAGTCGTGTTCAAGCCACTGTTCCTTAAACTACACGAATACACCTGTGATGCTAGCGATGGTAAATGTATTTATATATATTAAGCATGGCTAATTCTAAAGTAAGTTCAATAACCAACATAAAGATATACGAAAATATTTTCAATTTCTCGAACACTCCACACCTTGACATATGTAAGCATTCACAAAGGCCAATTTTTAGAGTACACACAATCTTGATACTGTACAAAATTTAGACTAGCTCTTTCCGTACAAAACAAAACACATTTGATTTGGCATGACATTTCGCATACGAAACGGCAAAACGATATTTCGTATACGAATATAGCAGCAAAATATAAGTTCAAAAACGTTGAGCATGTCGAACATACAGGGTTATAGTATTACGCCAGAGAGCAACTTGTCTTCAACTTGTATAGATTGTAAACTACACTTACAGCGCATCCAGAACAGATGATCCTCGGTCTAACAGATCCGCGGACTAAATATGGCGGACTCCACTTAAAAGCAAGCCGCCTTATCCTATGATGGTCTCCCCACCTCCACACGCGCCATTAAACGGATTCAATCTCGGCTCCAAGGTTAAATTGCTAGACCCCCGCAGGGACGGCGCGTATGGTGGTGGGGAGACCATCAGGGACTTTAACGGATTGCTTTTAAGTGGGCCGGCCTTATATGATCCGCAGATTAGTTAGTCCGCAGATCAGTTTGTTCTGAATGCGCTCTTATATATACACGGAACTAATTCAAGCACCACTTGACTTTTTGCTGACAAAATATTGAGCAAAATTGTACTACTGGTATTCTGCCTACATGTAGAGCTAGATTTCTCTGGACTGCCATTTTTAGTCTGATAATCTGAGTGCAAGGTGGGTGTCTCAAAAAAAGGCCGCTAGGCTTGCTCATCGTTTCAATGCATAAAAATGTTTCATACTTAGTCTGTTGAATATGTCCTGTCAGAATATTTGTTATTTATTTTCGAGTCGAGATCGATTTTTTACTCTTTAAATCTACCGTGAACACTTCAGTTGCTACACACGCTGTCAAAGAACTGGAAATATAGAAAGTAATCTACTCATGGCTGCGATTCTTTTGAATGCGACTCTTTTTAAACTAAAACTAACATTTCCGTCAGTTTTTTTTTGTAAATCATAAATACCATTTTAACCTACGTATCTACTTTTAATGTCAACAAAATAGTTTACAAAATGCTGCAAATAACATAAATGCCCCGATCATTCTACTTTGTAACTATAATGGGATATATGCCAAAATAAACATGAATACTGTCTTCATCCAATACATAAGGAGCATTAATTCAATAAATCCACAAAGAAAATATTACATTTGGGGTACGTATATTTCACTTTTTACACTTATGAGTATACATGGGTGGAATACATGTTGCTACGTTAGGGTAATAATTATCGAAACTAAATTAGACAACCGGTGCGAATTTGTTCAATCAGCACCATAAGACGTAAAATAATAATAATTAATAATAAGGATGATAATAACAATAATGGTCACAAATGATGCAGTTAATATTATATTCAATTATTACAGTCCCGGGACTTAATTCACTGTTTTGCACGTATATATATATAACCAAGCAGTTGTTGCGCATGCGTGTTTGCTGGGTACCCTGGTAGTCAAAGAGCAGAACAAACCAAGCTTCTTGCTAGTAGATGGATGGAGAGTTGTCAACGGCTCCCAGACGCCCAGGGTGTTCCGTGGAAGCTCTCAATTGTAATCAGCACGATAGAACGCACAGCATGTCAAAGCCACGCATCTTGGTCCACAGTTGTTTTTGCCAAGCATTGCATTGTATAACACGAAATAATAACCCCCCCCCACCCCACGTTTCTATTCGAAATCTATAACCCAGATCTACATACGGTATTTCTCAGCTGAAAACCATTTGGACAGTCGCTGTAACATTAAACTGTACGAATAAAATTATGAATCTCGCTAAAGACAGAAGACTTGAAATGTCACATCTAATCTAAACTCTTCTCCTCTTTCAAAAAGTTTCTTTTTTTTTTTTGCTTTTTCATATTTACTGATAAACCAAATTTGATGAAATGCACATTATCTTCAACGATGCGCAACATTAGTTCATCTCTCAGTCACTGAGCTAACTACTAGCGATACTGATATACATATACATTGATTTTTTTTCTTCAAAACGACATGCTTTGTCATATACTTGTGGTCTTCATGACGTCATATGTGGCCTTCATGACGTCATATAAGAGACGTGACATCATATACACGAATTCATCATTACATAAGCCTCTGATTGGGTCCCGACGTGGATAACTCTTTCATAGTCTGAAGTAGTATTTTTCCCCAAGTGAATAACTTTTAGTCTTTTGAAATATTTTCAGTGTTATGACTCTATTTACTCTCCTCCGTCGCGGCGGGTGCTTCTTCTGCTGGTTTTTCTGCTTCAGCTGCGGGCGCTTCGGCGGCATCTTCTTTAGCCTCACCCTCGGCTGCCTCTTCTTTCTTTTCCTCTGGCTTCTCCTCGCCATCCTTCTTCTCCTCCTCCGCCTCCTTCTTTTCTTCCTTCTTGTCTTCCTTTTTCTCTTCCTCCTGTTTCTGTTGCTCCTCGGCAATCGTGTCGTCCACCTCGACTTTCTCGTCAGCAGCTTTCTCCGGGGACATCAGCACCTTGCCCACGTTCTTCCTCTCGTGCATACGGGACATGGCATTGGCTGCCTGTAAACACAAATAAATAAATAAATAAATAAATAAATAAATAAATAATGTACATTATGTTGCGGTCAATTCGTAATTGACCTTTTCGCACTGACTTTACATACACCAGAGCAACTTAAACATTATCTGTATGACACGTCTTAACACTTTGTCATATCAATAAATAAATAAATAAATAAACTAGAAGAAAACACTTTCGTTTACAGGACCATTGCGAAAAAGGAACCAAAGACTGGAGATTATAGATAATCAAATACATTAACAAATCTTACCTGTTCAAAAGGCCACACAGAGTCAATCTTCGGCTTAATCTTGCCGTCTTTGAACAGCTGCATCAACTGCCCCATGGTC